ATGGTTCGCCTACTGGGGTTGTAGGCATCAGTGTATAGAAGTCCCCTACCTGGTCAGCGATGGAAGTAAAAACGCCTTTGACAGCCTGGAGGCGTGCAAGGCTGCATGTGAGAAATGAGAGTAGGGAGTCAACGAAGACGACAACGCCGGTCAATTCCATGCTGCAGTATTCTGTATTGGGATGGTGGTGCTGTTGGTGCTGGTATTAATTAAAATAATTAAATAAAACAAATACTACAGTGCGTCTACTTTGTGCTGGGTATTTGAGACCCCAAAAGGGTTCAAGTACTCTCCTCGACGGAATCGAGGCAAAATTTAGCGCACAATATGTCGGTGAATAATTGCACACACTGGGGCGGGAGAGACGGGCCTCAGGTCTCAGCATGAATTGCTGCGGCTTCTATATGGTTACAGTGAAAGCTCAATTAACGAGGTTAATTCATTCCGGCATTGTGCTTGTCATGTTAAGAATTCGCCTGGTGAAACGTAGTTCCTTAAATTGCACCAGTTTACTGAGAGTGAGCGAAGAATCAGGTGCCGGAAGTTAGACTCAACAGCAGATATAAGCACACGGGCGCAGTAGCAACTGCTGAGATGAGCGTAGGCTAGTCAAGTAAAACTTATGTTCTGCTTGTCGCTCGATTCTTAACCGAAATGCACGTAGACGGCGCGGCCGCGCAGTTGAGTCCACCCTTTATTCATTTGAAACCAAAATGTGTTTGTGTCCTGCAAACCGCAAGACGTATGCACAGTAATAGCCGAGTGTTAAGGCTAAGAAGGCTTACCCTCACACCTACGATATTCTAGGTCCTTGGTTGCTTTAGGTGAAGGCAGGAGTCTTGGGAAGGCCGGATTTTTAGGAATAGTGAATTCTGCAGAATGATAGAAGAAAAGATGGAAATATTGTTGCCTCGTGGATGACCGAAGTCCGGCTGCTAGGGCGTCAATTCCGGAGTGACGTGGGCATCACAAATCGCCGCAGTGTCAATGTATGCTTTGTTATAGCGGCCAATAGCAGAGCTGATGTCGTGTCTAGCGTGGGCGCGCGATCTTCATATGGCTGGTTAGCGTGAGCGCGCGATAACGCTGTGGCGTCTGTGCGCGTCAATCAAGGACTAATAGCGCCTTGCCCCAGGAGGCAGTGGGTGCGAAGGCAGGCTAAACGCGTCATACGTCACTGGCTGATATAGGGTTTCATGTGGCTGCAAAAGGCCACTATAAGTGCTCCCCTCCCACACCGATGCTTGTCTTCAGTCAATGTGTACTGAGACAGGTAAAATTCAATAGCAAAATCGCTCGTCAGAACCTTAAATCTCTCGTGTAGTCTGCTGACATGCAAACCCGTACAAAAGGTGCAAAGTGTCTTACCGGGCCAGTGCGTAAAGACAAGACATTTGGCAAACCGGTAATTGC